CGTGCGAATGTTTGACAACATGTTGTAATCGTCTGCGAGAGAAGCATCGATATCGACGAGCTCGGGATGATCCTTCTCCTCTTTCTACTGCTGCGACGCTGATTTATACCTGAAAACATTGACTTCAGGCTGCAACGTCCTCGTGTCTGTTTGATAAAACCAGAGATTTAAGAGATTTAATTAAAAAACGGACCAAGTGGCATCATGAGAATAAAATCCTGTAGCTCAGCAACGGACGATTCGACCTGGATCTAATTTTGGAAATCCGGCCTGAGTCCTGATTCATAGAACTGTTGCTTCATAGTACTGCTGATCACAGCAGGGGGCGTGTTCACACCTGCTGCTATTTATACCTGGTGTCGTGTGAGTTTGGGATTGTGATCGGATCAAACATGAAAGTACAGAATCACCCGAGATCGAGGACGTAGTGACTGTGGATAAAGACCTGGTATAAACGTCATCAGGTTCAAATCATATCCAGATTATTTCTTGATGCAGAATCTGTGTTTTGTGAAACCGCTGCAGAAACAATCATTTGCATCGAGTCGGGGATTTAAGATCCGTTCAATCTTCCCGTGGATTCGTCGTCTTCTCTGCGGTTTGAGAAGTTGACTTGCGTCCTCGTGCACCTGAACCCTGCAGTTATCTCCCTCTGGATCTCTGGACAGCAGCTACTTCCACTCAGGCTCCTAAGTGCCCACTCTTCTTCTGCCCTTGTCTTCACCTAAAGACACTTATTTCTGTCCTGATACGACAAACATCCATACGACCGCCTCCTCCGTCTCGTCACACGTCACCGGGATGAGACGGAGGAACCTTTGTCTCGGCATTTTACTAATCTCTACTTTTTAAAAATGTATGAGTATTGAATACGTGCTTGTTTATATATTAAAACATATAAATGTTTAAAGTGAATTATGGGAGGGACAAGCAGGATATCACCAACATTACCATTTCCATTACTAATACTTTAATTATTCATGTGTTGATATATGTGTGTCTCAAAAGGCACTTTGAAATTAAAAGTATTAATATTTATTATC